CCTTTTCACTCTATTTTATCCATCCTTTTATTATTTTAGGTTAGTCACATTTTTGTATACAGATTCACAATACCTGAACTTGAAATCTGCATATTTGGAAAAAACACATTGCAGCTTTTTGTGTACAAAACCATGTAGATAGTACTCTACTACTGTAGATAGCACTATGGTAGCCTACTGAAATAAGACTGTGCCGTTTTCATCTTTTTTTTTTTTTTTTTAGTCTCAGGTTAGGAAGATCTCCGGACTCAAGTGAAATTTGTTTCCCATCTTCAGCAGAGGGAACAAATTTCAGCAGCCAAGGACAGTAAATAATAATTTTGCTCTAAGCCTCAAATAATTTTGATATGTCTTTTCTTAGAAGCTTGTATTTTCACAATTTGCAAATATAATTCACAGTATTATTTAACAAGGAATCATTTTTGAATCATTTTATTTGAGTACTAATAGCCCCACATGAGGAGGTGATAAGTTCCAGTCTTTCTAACTAAAGAGTTACCAATTCATTCTATCTTTCTTTAACTATGTAGAGAGCTATGCAGAACAGAACTGGTTGGCGTGATATTGATAAGATACATATTTATATTTCCTGTGTGAGGCAGAAATGATGTTAGGGCTGGGTTTGAGGATGGGGGATTGAATTGCATTTCTTTAAAGATTCTTTAACAATTGAATTTCTTTAATAATTCTCCATTTTTTTTTCCCTAATACTTAAAACAATAGAACTTTTGGTTGGACTTAACACATGCTGCAGCAACCTCTGCATTAAATGACAGCACCACAGGAACATTAGTACTCTGTTTTGGTAGAAATGCATGAATGAAACAAACCCCCAATTCACAGTATGTGAATATGAGGGAAGAAATCTAGCTAAGTCAGGGGAGAATGTTTTTGAAGCAGGAAGTGCTTTAATACCAGATGCAAGTGATCTCCCTCAATAGAGCTCACTACTGCAAGACTAAAGAATGGATAAGAGATAGAATTCAGTCAGGGCTGAGTCATAGTGGTAGGAATATTTTATATGTGTTTCTGATCAAAATAAATTTCACTTAAAAAGGTAAAGAAAAATTATTTTGTTATGCAAAGTCAATACTTCAGAGTCTATTTTTCAAAATATTTTTTCAGCATTTCTTAGGTAGTTCTGAGAAAGAATATCTTCCTTCAACTTTTTAAGCTCCATGGAGTGTAATGAATGCCCAACATGAACAGAGGATGGTTTAGAAGAAAGTGTTTTCACCACTGAGAAGATACTATGGAACTTTATAATGTTAATATCACTCTCAGAATAGATCATGGTTTAAGAGGAGTATGCTTTTACCCAGACTATCATCTCATCAAAATGCCAAGAGGCCAGACTTTCAAAAGTCTGGAAGGCACATGAAAGTCCAGTAGGATAAGATGTTCAGTTACCAAAAAGAGAATTGTTTATGTTCCACCTGATTACAGCTGAGATTGCTGTTAGAGAGTTCTGTCTGAATGCCTAAAACAAATCTTGTCACCTCTCCTCCACACTTTCTTTGTAGCTAAAAAAATAAATAAATTACCAGATTACATATCTCATTATATGTTGCCTACCTCTCTAGGAACAAAAGAAGTTTCTTCTTTCCCAAGGAAAAGGGGAGGGAACTTTAATCTTTCTTACTATTGCTATAGTACCTTGCCTGGCTGTACAGGTTTGCAAAAATTGTTGTAGTTCAGATGATCTATGCTCAACAAATATTAACAAGTAACTACCACCTCATTTCTAGTGATAGTTATCCCAGAAGAATGTTAAAACATTGACATGGAAAATCTTGAATGACTTTACTTTCTCTTGATTTGTAGCACAATATCAGATGTTTAAAGTGCTTTATGTTGACCATCATTCTCTTTCAGGAACAGTACAATCGCTACTTCACAATCACTACTGCCACAATTCCCAGTACTATCTCCTTCTCTCTCTTTCAAATTGAAGAGTGAATCTGTTTTGCCTTTTAAAACAAAAATGACTATTGACAGAGCACTCTCCCATATTGTTCTCTGACAAAAGCTGGATGAGCAGGTTTTTCAGTTTCTAGGGGAAGATACAGCTGAAAAGAGTCATAAAGTGCATATCCAAGTGTAATAGTAATTGCCCAAAGCAAGGTAGAGAGCTGTTTTGAGTAACTGCCCATGCATGCCATTTGCTCTCCAATATAACTATTCCTTGTCTCTCTTACACAGGCCAAAGAAATCCAAATCCATTTCATAGAGTATCCCCTCACATTGTTTTACCAGATTACAGACACTTTTGTTTAAATGTCAATTAATGTTGCAGATAAATATAAATAACTTTCAGTCCCTGAGACAGTAAGATTTGTGCAATGTCACTGACCTCTTTTTAGAGACTCTAAGAGTAGTGATGGTGGGTGATGAAACAGCAACAGAAAGATAAATGGCTTAAAACAGAACTTTGGTAGAAAGTGTGGAAATAAGTATGGAACATGATACTAGGAATTCATTCAAGTAATCAAAGAAAGAAAAACATTTTAGCTCAGGAGATAAGGGCCTTGCTTACAGTTTCATTTATCAACAGAAAATAATCTCTGTTCAGGGTAAGCTAGTGCAGTCAGAAGTGTTTAAGCATGAAACTTTTAAAACTTGTGAAAACTTCTTATTGTTTTTGTCTAGATTGCAATCAATGCTACAGACTGCAATGCAACCTATATATTTTTGAGCTTCTTTGGATGCAACAAGCAGTTTGGTTATGGTAACACACGATACAGCAAGATATAATCTCCTCTAAGTTCAATGTTGATAAAATCTAATTATGCTTTATTTATTTATTTATTTATTTATTTATTTATTTTTCCCAACTCCCTCTGGGAAAGCAATGTATTACAGGAGAATGGCTTGGGTTGGACAGGATATTTAAGATCACCTACTTTCAGCACCCATGCCATGTGCAGGGATGTCACCCACTAGACCAGGCTGCCCAAAACCCCATCCAGCTTGGCCTTGAACACCTCCAGGGAAGGAGCATCCACTGCTTCTCTGGGTGACCTATTCCAGTGCCTCACCACCCTCATAGGAATTTCTTCCTAACATCTAATCTTAACCTACTCTCTTTTAGTTTATAACCATTGCCCTATTGCTACATCCCCTGAAAAAGAGTACCTCCCTATCTTTCCTGTAGACCCCCTTTAGGTACAGGAAGGGTGCTGTAAGGTCTCCTCAGCCTTCTCTTCTCCAAGCTGAACAACCCCAGCTCTCTCAGCCTGTCTTCATAGGAGAGCTGTTCCAGCCCCTTGATCATTTTTGTGGGCCTTCTCTGGACTTGTTCTAATACATCCATATCTTTGTCAATGACATAAACAATGGGATCGAGCGCACCCTCGGCAAGTTTGCAGATAACACCAAGCTAAGTGTTGCATTTGATACACCACTCATATAGAAGGAAAGGATGCCATCCAAAGAGACCTGGACAACCTACAAAAGTGGGACCATGTAAACATTATGAGGTTCAACAAGGCCAAGTGCAAGTTGCTGCACCTGTGTCAGGGCAATCCCAGACGTGAGTATAGACTGGGAGAAGAACTCACTACAGAGGAAGACTAGGGGATTATGGTGGACAAAATGTTTGACATGAGCTGGCAGTGTGCATTTGCAATCCAGAAGGCCAACTGTGTCCTAGGCTGCATCAACAGAAGAGTGGCCAGCAGGTGGAGGGAAGTGACTGCCCCCTTTGCTCTGCTCTTGTGAGGCCCCACTTGGAGTTCTGCATCCAGGTCTGGGGCTCCCAGCATAAGAAGGAGGTGGATCTGTTAGAACAGGTCCAGAGCAGGGTCATGAAGATGATCAGAGGGCTGATCATCTATCAGCTGATCTATCCTATGAAGACAGACTGAGAGAGCTTGGGATGTTCAGCCTAGAGAAGACCCTGGGGAGACCACATTGCAGCTTTTCAATACCTAAGGGATCGTATAAAAACGCTGGAGAGCAACCTAAAATAAGGGAGATTTAGAGTAGATGTTAGGAGGAAAATCACCCAGAGGGTGGTGAGGCACTGGAACAGGTTGCCCAGAGAAGCTGTGGATGCCCCATCCCTGGAGGTTTTCAAGGCTGGGCTGGATGGGGCTTTTGGCAACCTGGCCTAGTGGAAGGTGTCCCTGTCCATGGCAAGGGGTTTGGAACCACATGGTCTTTAAGGTCTCTTCCAACCCAAGCTGTTCTGTGTTTCATGAACAATACAGATTAATGTTTGCATGTGCTTCTCATGTTGAAATATATATCTGAAACAAGCCAGGAAAGGGCGCATGTTTAAACATATGATTTCATAAACAGTTTTATATATATATATATATATATATATATATATATATTTCATGACAATTGTATTCTTTGGAATGAAATTACTAAAGTTATCTTTTTTTGCCTATTTTGAAATTCTTATTTACTCCTGGATTGTTATCCACTCAAGAGATGGATATTGCTTTCTAATAAACTGTCCTCTACATTAAAATAATCGCTTAAGCAGCATTTAAAATGTACTGTTGTTATTGCAGATTATGGTCCACAGCTGAGTATAAAAAACAAAGCACTTTCAAACTCTTCCACCCCAAACTGTCATAAATTCATATTTTTATATGTCATTGCTGAATTGCCTTTACGTGAAAAAATAAAACAAATCCAAACATGATAAAAACATCACTGAAAATGCAGACATTTTAAACTCCATTTTAAATGAACCAACAGAACTGAATAGTCATTTACACTCAGTGTTGGTACTTTACGGAAATATTCCCTAAAATAATAAATGGAAGGAGGTCTTATGTCTTATATTGGTAACACGAGTCTGAGGTTATAAATACTCTGATAAAACTGTAACATCTATAGTTTTAGAAAAGAAAGCAAAGGTTCCTAAATTTCCTGTTCCATAATGGATACTGGGGATATGAAGCTGGACAGGCCTCTGAAATAGATTATCACAGATGGCACATTTAATCAGTTTTGATGCAAAGTTTCTTACTTTTGGCACTTACTTTGGTTCTAAGGGATTTGTCCTTGCAAGTGCAAACAAACTCTGGGGTTCTGGATGGAACAAAGACTCCTCTAAACCCAGGAAGCATATCCTTCCACAAGCCATCTTGTCTGGAGACAGAATGGAAAAAAATTGTGTATCATCAAGACTGTAAATTCTAATCTGCCCTATTTTAAAGCTTTAGTGCAGTAATTTAAAGGACTGTTGCTTATTGCAACAAATATAAGGTAGTACAGAAGGAAAAGGAAAAAACTTTGCTGGAAACCTATTACTCTGCTCAACAAATTTCCATCTCCAAAAGCATGATGAGATTTGATAAAGGGAGGAGAAAAGGGCAGACATGAATGTTGCAGTAATGAGGAGTACACTTTTCAGTGTTTACATAGCCTAAATCACCCTTGGGAGACCTTTCATAATTTCTTAAACATGGGCACTTATCTCAAACATGTCTTGAGTCTATGAAACAATAAGGTATCATTTACTTAAATGGACAGCAACTAAACTTACTATCAACTAATTAGCTCACCAAGTTTTCCTTTTAGTTAGAGATAGATAATTTCAAGAATAAAGTAACAAATATTACCAATGAAAATAAAAATGTTGCAACAAAAGATCAGCCCTTCAGTGAAACAACAGGGAGCTGAATGGCTATGATTGTATCTGGTGCATGTTTGCCTGACAGAAAACAATACAACATATGATAAATGCATAATCATTACATAAGAAAACCTGAATTTTCAGAAATGGCACAGATACATTTTCCTTTGGTCCATTGTGGTACCTATAATTCATTTTACTTACCACAGAAATTACCTGGAAAAAACGTACTCATATAATTTGTTTGACACAACAGCAACATCAAAGGATCACCGTGCCCCAGTTCTTCACCTGCCTCTAAGGGAACTGAAATTATACTCTCCCTTTCACCAGCAGTAATTTTTGCTGCAATGACAAGGAAACTATTTTTTTTGGTCTTGACTTTTTTTTTTGTTTGTTTGTTGTGATTTTTTTTTTTTTTTTTATGAAGACTGAGTTTTACAATTGTTATCGCTGTTGCAAGTATGCCTTTGCTCCATGTACAATAGTGCTCAATGTTTATTCTTATGCGATAAAATCCAAACAGGTATTTGTTACCGATTCCCTCTCCCACCACAACCATCAGTCATCAAACTGGATACACACTTTAATGTTAGGCTCCTTCTGTCTTGACAAACACCATCAGCTTTGCTCACACCAAAAACACAGGATAGTTGAGCTTGCTTAAACATGGGACATTAAAACTCAGCCCCCACACATGAAGGTGCATATATTGTAGTCCCCCTACTCCTAGCAGCATTGTCTTAGACATTATGGCGAAAATAAAATCCCTTGTTTTGCACACAAAAGCACAGAGAAACAGATCTGTTCTGTAAATAGCTCAAATTTTACATTAATTTAGAGTAGAAGCCATCGTTGACAAGTTTTAACCATGAAATCAGTGTGATGTTTGATATCGGAAACCCACATAGCTTACAGAATATAGACTTTTAGACTATTATTCTCACATTTATGAAAGGTGAAATTTTGCATGTTTTCAGGAAGGCAGATGACTACTTTGGAAGCATTACAAACATGAAAAATGATTGCATTCACTTTGAAATATTTTGGGAGATGTAAGGAGAAAGAAATATAAAGCAAAGGACACTGCCTTGGTGCTGTACCTGGAACATGATGTTGCATGCAACATCAACTTTTAAAGGTTCCAACAGAATTTTACTGACCTGTAAGAATAGAAGTAGTGGATGCAAAGATAAAACAAAGTATTGTGGAATAAGAAACACAGCCTTTGCATCAATAAATCATGCTTTATCATGCAGCGTGTGTTCTTTGAAGGGGTCTTTGACCACATGGATAAGGAAGATCCATCCATTCACTCTACTGAATTTCTACTCAGACTTCTAAAATTATTCTGAAAATGTTCCTCATGAAAGAGGCGTAGAATAAAATGAAAGAACCTTGAACAGATATAATATTTGTTAAAACAATTAACAACCAAGCAACAACAAAAAACAACACAAGGAAAGTTTCCAGATTGGAAAGAATTCATCTGTGAAATCAAAGACCTTTCCAGGTATGATTCTCTTAAACTTCTCCATAAATCTGGAAAAAGAGGTTTGTAGTGAACTTACCTAAACTTTGCTGATGATGCTGAGTTTCTCTGGGCAATAAATATGAGGGCAAGCTGCAGAAAGATCTTACCAGATTGAGCAGTAGTAAAATGATAAATGAAATGCAGTGTGTATTCATAAAAAGTAACACAAGTGGGTAAAAAGAAAAGAAAACAACACCTACATTTACTGATGAAAAGATGGCCTCTGAGCTAATTATAAATTAAGAACTTGTTGCTATTATAGACCTTTCCAGGAAAATGTCCAGTAAGTGACCAACAATATTAAGGATTATCAGGGAAAAATTGAAGATCAAGAGAAAACATCATGAGGTCACTAAAAATAAACGTCCCACCTTAATCTAGTACACTGCATGTAGCTTTGCACTGCCATATTGGAATGGTATGGTCAGAACTAGAAAAGAGCAGTGAAGGTGATCAGTATTCTGGAAAGGTTTCTAAAGAAGAAATTATTAAATAGGCTGGGCTGGCATTTGTCAGTCTAGAAAACTGACTCTTGAAGGGGGCTATGACAGATGCCTTTGGAATGATGGCATACAGATTGTGAAAACGGTTCGGTTCTTCATGTTCTGATACAGACTGAGAGGGCCGTCAAATGAAGCTGTCCAAGCACAGGTTGTGAAGAAAGAGAAGGAGGTGGCTCTTCATGTAAAACCTTATTAAAATGTGGTCATCCTTGCCATCCTGTGCATGTTGCAGTCTACATGGTTCAAACAGAAAAATGAAAACATGCATAGATGAAAACTCAGGATTTCATAGACCTCCACTTCTGTCAAATGTAGTCTTTGTCCAGGGAACCAGTCTAAATCAAATGTTTAGAAGCTGAGGGAATATTATGGAAAGCGTCATTGTGAACTTTCTACATTTTTACATGCTTTCGTAGGCTTCCATTTTGGGTCATTGTTGGAGACAGGATATTGATATAGGTGCACTTGGGGTGAGTAATTTTCATGAAAAGAGAATTAAAGATTTGATACAAGCCAATGGCAAGCCTGGATTTGATGCACACTGTCAATTATATGCAGCCATATACCTTTTCAGAAATTACTATCATTATTCCAACACTTGCTGGACTGCTTAGGCAGAACGTTTTCAAAAACTGGACAGAGTTTTGAAGGGTGTGAAGGTATCTAGCTGGCTAAACCATTCCATCTGCAGGATATCTGAAATGCAGATCTGATCTGCAAATATTTATATCCTTCTTTATGTCTTTTGGGAAATCCAAAGAGATCTTTAATAATTTGTTAGATGCATCCAGTTTATAAAATAGATTTATCTCATGGTATTAACAATGATGATTATTCTTGAATTTTCTGAAACAGGGATTGCAATTTCTTTACAGCCTGGGGATGAGCTTATCACAGGCACTCAGAAACTAACAAAATAACAATTATGTCCCTTATGCATGATCGAATATCTTCCCAAGAATGCCTTTAGCCTTAGCAAAAAAATATCACAGATTCAATATATTATTTTTCCAACACCAGTAGAACACTGTAGGGTTCTACCAACATACATCATCTCATTAAGGACTGAATTTAAATAATGGCCATGTACAAATCTGGGACTGGAATAACCAACCAAAAAAACAACCAACAAAACAACAAAAACCCTTCTGTTCTGTTTATCTATCTTAGTTTTAAACTCTTTGCTGGAACTCCAAGGTTTCAATTATATTTTCATACTGCCTTAACTTGAATCACCAAATTTTGATGTGTAAGTTGAGAAGTCAGTCTCCACAGGCTCTCTCTGCAGTCAGCAGAGTAAAGAAGGCAAGTGGTTCAGATCAAGAGCACAACCTTAGTGTCTGAACAATTTCCTAGTATTCAGGCTCTGAAATGAAGACTAAAGAAGTCTTCATTTGAAAGATTCCATCCTATGATTTAGGATACTCCATGACATTCAGTGCTACTGATGGGAACACTGCTCACCAGCACCTTTGGGCCACGTAAATGTGTCGTCATAACCACCAGATATTCCAGGCACTAACCATAATGCTTTACATAACCAGTCATGCTTTACAGACTGGACTGGGAAGTCCCATCAGACACAGGTACTTGATGTTTTTTTTCTCACAGCTTTCACTTGGCACAGGACTCTCAAAGAGGAAATGAAAACAACAGCAACAACAAAACAAAACAAAAAGAAAAACAAACAAACAAACAAAAAATCAACAAAAAACAAAACCAGAAACACCGCAACCTTTCATTTAGAGTAGTTAGCTGTTTTCTGTAGAAAGAAGAAACTCAGCTTCAATTTATTCATTCCAAGTCATTTTCACTGCTGTAAGAGCCTTTTGTTAGCTGACTGAATCGTGGCTCAAAAAGAAAATTCAGTGTGAATTTTCTGTAGAGAATCTTTATCATTTGTTTCCCTCAGCAAGATTCTATCTTATTCTATAGGTCAGCAACTACAAAATAATTGTTTTCTATCCATTCATTTAGAATTTTGGATGGCACTCTTATTGTGATAGAATGCACATTTTCCAGTATGAATAGAGGGTTTTCTTAACATTTTATAAAATAATTCTGGAACCAGCTGCTCCATAAATAATATCAAATCATCTTCACTATCTGAAAGAACAAGTAATCTAATATTAGTCTTGTGGCTTCATCACTAAGAATTTTATTCACATTTGAAAGACTATGAGCAGTTTCAGATAAAAAGTCTATTTCTAAACCTACTCTTTTATAGTGTTTCCAGCTTCAAAGGTTTGGTGTACATTACATCTGTCCAAGTTTCCACATTTGATACATGTATTCTTGCAAAATCCATTTACCATTCAAAGCTGTTATGGTAAAATGTGTACATTGAAATGTTCTGCTAATCAATTTCATAAATAAATTATTGAAATGGCTCTTTATAATAAAGACTTCAATCACAAGTGTAATATCTAAATGGTCACAGAAAAAAAATAAATTGTTTTATAGTTGTTTTACCCTC